CGCATTATCCTGCCCATGCAATTGTAACCCCTCTGTACAGTATGTTCACAAATAAAATTAAATTAAATTAAAAAAAGAAATGTACTCATTATCTGCCTATGTAATTGTAACCCCTCTGTACAGTATTTTCACAATAAAAAATTAAAAACAAAAAAAAAGAAATGTACTCATTATCTTGCCCTTGTAATTGTAACCCCCCTATATGGTATTTTCACAATAAAAAAAAATGAAGTGAGTAAAAAAAAAAAGGAAAGTAGGAAAATAAACAAATGCATGGAAATCATATACAAAAGTTCTAAATAATAATTTGAACAAAAACACTAAAATAAATTGGAGTTGAGCATAATGGTCGGTGTATTCATTCTTTTAATTCCAGCACTTGGCAAGCCAAGGCAAGAAAATCATATATGTGAAGTTAGCCAGGGCTACATAGTGAGATCTTGTCGTAGAAACAAGAATATTGGAAAGCATGTCAAGATTAAAACAAAACACATCACCTGATGCCCGAGATTTGATAGTGCTGAGATCAGCCAGCAGATACCAAGTTCCTTTGATTTCCCCCATCTAGTACAGAACTCAGTGCTCTATTTTCAGACTCTCCAACACAGGCAAAGAACATCCTGAAGATTCAAGCTTTGTAACTCATGGATGAACAAACAGAGGCACCTGAAGGAATCTAGATGCTGTGGTGCCCAGAGGCTTCAACGTTAACTAAAGCCAGCAGTGGTATGGGTACACAAAGAAGGTAAAGTTCTGAAGTGAATGCAGACCTGAAAGTTACAACAGATTTTTGATAGTCCTAACCCCGAGCTCACGTACAGCACAAAAGGCTGAACAATGTTAGTTCTGTCATACTGATTCAATTTATCCTCTCTGAGTAGATAAAAGGATCATGGTTCAAAGGCAGCCTGAGCAGGAAAGTCTGTGAGACTCTTATCTCCAACAAGTGGCTCAAGTGGTAGAGCGCTAGCCTTGAGCACAAAAAGGTTCAAGGACAAAACCCAAGCCCTCAGTTCAAGCCCCAGTACCAAGAGTGACAGAGATATAGGCAGACAGAGAATGCTTACTAAACAAATAAATAAAACCTGAATAGGATTTATCCAAACGTGTTCAAAATGTAACATAGGACAATAAGAAATACAAATGTACAAGGCAATATAATTTGGCTAAAATTTTACTCAAATGATTAAATGTCAAGAATTCAAGACAACTGTTTAAACAATTATTAAAATTATTTACCTATAACTCCTATGCCATGCTATAAAGTTTTTATATAGTATGAACATTAAGCATAATAATTCTGTAAATATAACCAGTTACAAAAGTGAAATAAACTGAAAAAGCAGTATTTATCAAATTTGATTTATATTGCACTTCACTTGCAGTTCTTATTATATCTGTTTTCAGAGGGTAGTACTGGGTTAGAACTCAGGGATTTGCACTTGCTAGATAAAGTGCTCTATCACTTGAGCTATGCTTCCATGCTTTGCTTTTTTAATCTGCTTATTTTGAGATGATGTCTTGCCTTATGCTAAGAATTGTTTGGACTGTGATTTCCTATTAATAGTTTCTGCATAGCTGATATGACAGGCAGGTACCATTAGACCCAAATGTTTTTACTGAATTAGTCTCATGAGCTTTTATGTTTGGGCTTAACTGTAAGAGCAATCCTCCCAATCTTAGCCTCCCATGCAGCTGGGAAGACCAGCATGTACCATATCACCCAGGAAATGATTGATATAAATGTACCATCTCCACAGGATACTTGAAATTCAGCAAATATTATAAGGAATGAGATTTTCTGTAATTTGCTGTTTTCTTAAAGTAATTATTAGTTTTGTTGACTTACTCTTTTTACAAAGTAACTAATTGTTTCACATCCAAACACAGATGAGATTTTGAACTGAGACTCTGTTATTCTTCTGACTATAATTCTCTTTCTATTAAAAGTAACAGCAACAACTATAGCTCATCAGGTAATTCTCCTGTGAATAAGAAGATCAAGGACATGAGTAGCCACAGCATATTCACAGTAAAGGATTAATTTTAGGGCTGGGAAGTTGGCTCAGTGGTATAGCACTTGCCTTGCATCATGAGGCCCTGGGTTCGATTCCTCAGCACCACATAAGCAGGAAAAAAAACCGGAAGTGGTGCTGTGGCTCAAGTGGTAGCGTGCTAGCCTTGAGCTGAAGAGCTAAGGGACAGCACCCAGGCCCAGAGTTCAGGCTCCAAGACCGGACCAAAAAAAAAAAAAAAAGGATTAGTTTTAACCTAAAGATGAGGACAAAGCTTTCTCTTAATAATTTTGCCAAATAAAAGCTTTAAGATGACATAAAAAATTTCCCAGCCAGGTACCAGTGGCTCATGCCTGTAATCCTAGCTACTCAAGAGGCTAAGATCTGAGGATCACAATTCAAAGCTAGCCTGTGGGCAGGAAAGTCCATGAGACTCTTATCTCCAATAAACCACCTGAAAACCAGAAGTGGTGCTGTGGCTCAAGCAGTAGAGTGCTCACCTTGTGCTGAAGAGTGCAGGGACAGTGCCCAGGCCCAGAGTTCAAGCCCCACGTCCAACCAAAAAAAAATTTCCCTATCCCTTCAGATATATGAAGCCCATCCACATATTTTAAAAATGATTCAATCATATTCTCTTTTATCTATTATGTGGTCCTTTTCTTGAGTCACTAGCAAAGTCTTTTGTAATTTGTTTCTTTTGGCTCAGGGGATATTTCTGTTTGATAATGATCTTCAGAGGAGAGGAAAACAGGACCCAATTAACTCCAAAAGTTCACACAGCTATGAATGCTTGTAGTTGATAACTAATTTACAGGACTAGTAAACTTAAGGAGAATAAATAACTCTTAATCATTTGAAGAGTGGTTTGGATGTATCAGTGTAGACCTAACTTGAGACAGCATTATATATAGATAGATAGAAAGATAGATACAAATATGTAATATATATATAGATAAATAGACATATCTATATCTGTATCTATATATATAAATCATTCCAGACCATTCCATTTTATCTGTAGAATGTAGAACACAGGCACTCAACACAGAGAGAAAGTATAATCTATTCAGCTGTGAGAAAAATTTAGAGAATTCAATATAAATTATTTCATTTATAATGCCAAAATAGGGTTTGGGCTAGTGGATTGGTGGTAGTGTAACTGTGTGATAGGTACAAGGCCCTTTAAAAATGTTATGCAATGTATTCCCAGATTTTAAGCATCTTGAAATAGCTTTCTTGTATTTAAGCTTGTCATGGAGCTTGTGAATAGCTTATATAGGTCCTGAGAAGACAATTGTTTCAATCTGGTCTTATTCTAGAATTTTTAAAACTCTTTTATTATGATGATGGTGATATACAGAGGGGTTACAGTTACAGTATATAAGTCAGGTAATTAGTATATTTCTTTGTGAACAATGCCATTCTTTCCTTCACTCTTTCCCTGTTTTTCCTTACCACCCCCCAAGTTATATAGTTCATTTTCAACATAGTTAGTCTAGAATTGTTAAACAAAATATTTGCTTAAAATACACATTGAACTATTTACATGAGTATAAAAAGTTCCTGGAAATAATGAAATAAACGTATCAGTAGATCTTTCTAGATATGAGTGTATTGTTTACCCCATAACCCTTGTAATGACGCAGCTTCCATAAGAGCTTCCACACAGACACTTTGATTTCCTTATTTCTCAGACTATATATTATCGGGTTCAAAGATGGAGGCATCACAGAGTAGAAAACTGATATCAAAAAGTCAGCAAGACATGGGAAGTCAGGGACTGGCTTCAAATAAGCAATGGCACCTGTCATTAAAAATGTAATCACAACTATGAGATGAGGCATACAGGTGGAGAAGGCTTTGGACCGGCCTTGTAATGATGGCATTCTCAACACAGTACTGAAGATGTAAACATATGAATTCCCAATGCACACCAAGCAGAACAGCCCCCAGAGGATTGCAATGGCCACACTAACATCAATACTGACATGCCTCTTAGAGCAAGAAATCTTCAGTAGAGAGGGGACATCACAGAAAAACTGTGCGAGTCTTCTGGAGCCACAGAATGCTAAAGAGAAAGTTCCAGCTGAGTATAAGACCCCAAAGAGGCTCCCAAACATCCAAGAAACAGCCACCATCTGCACACAGAGTCCCCTGTTCATGATGACATCATAGCGCAGTGGGTGACAGATGGCCACATAGCGGTCATAGGACATGGCTGTCAGTATGGAAAGCTCTGAACTAACAAAATGAATCACCAAGAAGAGCTGACACACACATCCTGGGAGAGAAATGTTGCTCCTATGGGTAAAAGAGTTCAGAATGAGGTTAGGGACTGTGACTGAAATGAGGCCCGCATCAAGGAAGGCCAAGTTCTTCAGGAAGAAGTACATGGGGGTGTGAAGACACGGGTCCACTGTGACAAGGATGAAGATGAAGAGATTCCCCATGAGAGCCTCCAAGTAGATCAGCAGGAACAGAAAGCCATGGAAGACCTGGAGCTGCTTGTCGTCAGAGAACTGGATGAGGAAGAAGTCCATCTGTGCTGTGTGATTGGTCATGGCGTCCACTGCATTTACCTCATGTGAGCCCAAGGAAGAAAGTGTATGCATGCCCTTCCTCTTGTCTAACAGAACATATTCATTCCTATAAGAATTCAACTATGTTGTATTTATAAAACACAAACACTTTTACTTTCTGTTTTTTCTTTTTTCTTTGTCAGTTGTGGGGCTTGAACTCTGGGCCTGGGCTCTGTCCCTCAGCTTTTCAGCTCAAGGCTAGTGCTCTACCACTTGAACCACAGCGCTATTTCTGGCCTTTTCTGCCGGTGCTAAGGAATCAAATCCAGGGCTTCATGCATGCAAGGCAAGCGCTCTATCACTGAGCCACCTTCCCAGCCCACCACACTTTTACTTTCTTAAATATATGTTAAAGTTTTGTGACCCTAAAGTGCCATTTCTCTTATGTGTTAGGTCAATTAGGCACAGTAAAAATTAAAAAAAATATTTTTCATTGAGCCTTATATTTACTAATTATGTCTGAATCTTTATTAACTTTACCCTGAATTGTTAACTGATTTTTTTAAAATAAAATGATTGCTATAGCATAATAAATTTGTAAAGCAAGTTTGATTTTATTTTGCCAAGAATAAAAATATTTTCTATTTAAAATTTTACAAATGCATAACAAAGCTGATGGTAAAAAGCTAAGTGTATAAAAAAGTTGAAAATGAGATTTCTAATTATGTGACTACTTCAGTGTAATAACATTTATGGAGGATGAACAATTTATAATTTATGGACAATGAACAGTTTATAAATATGGAGCTGATATGAGCCATACTAACCATTCCCAACCAAAAGTCTGTTTACAAATGTACTAATGTACATCCCCCTCCCTTTCTCTGTCTCTCTCTCTCTCTGTGCCTCTGTCTCTCTCATTCTCTTTCCTCTCTCTTCCTTCCCTCCTTTACAATCACAACGTGGGTATCCAGTATTATTATCATTGATAGGAAAGCACACAGCACAAAATCCTACATGCTAAAAAACGTTACCTATTGTAAGCAGAATTACTAGTTATTTGTACTAAGTAGAATTACAGAACTGGTGAGATGCATCCCTGACTAAACATTCGTCCTTGGATACAGATGAATCATTTAGTGAGCGGGAAAAAATAGCATATAAGAATTCTTTCTTGAGCCGGGCGCTGGTGGCTCACGCCTGTAAATCCTAGCTACTCAGGAGGCTGAGATCTGAGGATCGCGGTTCAAAGCCAGCCCGGGCAGGAGAGACCGTGAGACTCCTATCTCCAATAAACCACCAGAAACCGGAAGTGGCGCTGTAGCTCAAGTGGTAGAGCGCTCGCCTTGAGCTGAAGAGCTGAAGGACAGCGCCCAGGCCCATACTTCAAGCCCCACGACCGACAAAAAAAAAAAAAAGAATTCTTTCTTGGAGATAATACAGGATAATTTTAGTCAAACAAAAATTTTTAATCATAAAAATTTTTAATCATTGGACTTTATTTAAAAATAAACTTTACTTAAAAATATATTTGCTAATTACCTCAACTGAGATTCATCCAGCTTGCCAAGACTTCTTAGGTGGTAGCCAGAGGAATTCACACCAGCTCTGGGTGAGGCAGCAGAGAGTTCAGGACTCCTAGACTCCAGGGGGAGAGCACACATATCAAAATGAGAAAATTGCTTTCACCCTCAATAGTGTAGAGTCTAGCAAGGAAACAGATAGCATATCTAATCATTGAAAGGCTCATCAAGTGGACATTTTGAACAGATGATTTTTCTGAAGAATAAAATAATGTAGCCAGGTGCTTTTAGATTACATCTGTAATCTTAGCTACTCAGGGTACTGAGATTTGAGGATCATGGTTCAAATGCAACCTGGGTAGGAAAGTCCATGAGACCCTTATTTCCAAAAAAACACCAAGGAGCCAAAAGTGGATCTGTGGCTGAAGTGTTAGAGTATTAGTCTTGAGAAAAACAAAAGGAAACAAAAAACCCTCAAGGAGAATGCTTAGGCACTTAGTTCAAGCCTCAGAATCAGTGCACATGCGCGCACATGCACACACACACACAGACACACAGACACACACACACACACACACACACACGCACACACACATGTTTGAAAGGCCTGAAGGTGTTAATAGTTTGCTAACTAAAGTGGGCAAGAGCCCAACTCTTCAGTTAGAGGACTTTATCTGGTCCAGATTATTAAGAAGTCCCTTCTTTCCTGTACAATGTACAGTAAGATATGAAGCATTATATTAAAAATATTAGTATATCTTAGTTGTATTAGGAGAATTCAATGTTATTTCCATACTTGCATACAATTTGACCCAATCAACTCACCTCCATCTCTCTCCTTTATCTTCCCTGCATATGTGTGTGTATGTGTGTGTGTATGTGTGTGTATGTGTGTGTGTGTGTGTGTGTGTGTGTGTGTTGGTTCTAGGACTTGAACTCAGAGCCCAAGTTCTGTCTCTGAGCTTCTTTTTGGTCAAGGCTAGTGCCACAGTGCCACTTCTGGCTTTTTCTGAGTAGTTCACTGGAGGTAAGAGTCTCACAGACTTGACTGCTCCATCTGGCTTTGAAAGGTGATCTCAGATCTTAGCCTCTGAGTAAGTAGGATGACAGGAGTGAGCCACCAGCACCTCGCTTCCCTCTACTTTTTAAAAAATACTTGCAACGGGTTTAATTTGTCTATCTCCATGAATGTAATGTACTTTGATCACATTCACCTCCTTTCACCCGCTCTTTTGGCTCCCCTTACTCTTACTGGTACCTGAATCCTAATTGAACCTCTTATACTGTCTTTGATTCAATTATTTTTAATTGATCAAATTCAGTGACTATTCAAGGCACTTTCAAGAGTGATTCTTAGTATTGTGTTTCACTCCCTGTAAAGCCCCATAACAGTCCTATCACAAATACTGGACTCATCTCCATTTTATGCATGGTAAAAGAGGGTTAGCCATCTTAAAAGTAAGGCTTCTGCCCACACTAAGTAATGGGTAAAGACAGCCCTCAGCTATCTTCAATTACTTTCTTGTGTAAAGTTATTATTCTCTATGAAAGATGACTATTTAATGCTAAAACTATTTTTTGTTGTGAGGATTTGCAAGTGGCTTTTATTTTCTTATTTTAAGCATTAATAATTTTAGATTCAGGTCAAATTAAAATATAGTATACACCATCAATCCTACAGGGCACCAGATCAAATATCATAAATTAATCTTCTAATATGGCTGCCAGTTTCATTGTGGCAAACTCCAGAGTAAAAGAGAGGACTCTGAGTTGCTTCTTACACCAAGAAATGACAACAGTTTCTCAGGAAGAAATGCTAAATACCCTGAATTGACGTTAAACATTGGGTGAATGCATAACGTTATCTAAAATTATCACATTATACCCCATATAATAATGCAATGTAGAAAAAACATTTTTACGAGTTTCTAAGATAAACACTTCAAAGTAAATTCAGATTTTACCTGGATCAACTTCTAGCTGGAAATTTCTTACATGTAATAAAGACTTTTGTGTATATTCATAAGATTGTATTTTCTTACAATCTCATGAAGTCTCAGTATTGACACAGATCCAACACATTATAAATGCTGAGATGCTCTTTTATCTATAGAGATCCTCTTTTACCCATAAGGTGGGAGAGAAAGTCAGGGCATTTTAGGTTGACTGAAATCCCCTTTTTAATGAGGTTGAAATAATTTTCACTTCACTCTGCATCACCCTCTGGGAAACAATGGACTGAGGACAAACAATTCTCATGGGGACCATGACACAGTTCTTCATGGAGCCTTATTCACTATGATCATCAATGTGTGCAGCCTGGCCCTGACCCTCTTACCTCTCACCTAGTGCTCCTGCTGTGGCTTTTCCTGTAAGATCACTGAGGGTTTACCTGCCTCCTGACCAGAAAACCACCATGCACTGCCAATGCAATTTGAGTTCTACTGTAATTTAACAATTTATTCTTATGTTTTAACTTTGTGACAGTTCAATTTCAGTTCATATATCTATCTATCTATTGTAGATAGATAGATAGATAGATAGATAGATAGATAGATAGATAGATAGATAGATAGATGATATATAAAGATAGATAGATATATGATATATAAAGAAATTTAAATACAGTGACAAAAGGGGTTATACTGTGGGGGAGGGACATAGAAAGCAATAAAGAAATCATCTTATAAATATGTTAGAAATAATCACAAGTAAGAAAAACCATTTGAATCCTTATCTTGCTGTATTTGATGTTGGTATAATTTGTGGAGGGGAAGGGAAAAAAACAAATCGTTTAAATAGGGATACAGGTGGATCCATTGCAACAATGAGATGTACAAGTCGTTATGTCGAAAACAAACTTTACAACTCTGGCTGGAGGGTGGGGGATGGGGGGGTTAGGGGAGGCAGGAGATGGGAAGGGATTCGAAGGGGAAACAAAGGAGGAGGCAACAATGCTTGATAAGAAATGTACTCAATACCTTGCCCATGTAATTGTAACCCCTCTGTATGGTGTTTTCACAATAAAAAAAAGAAAAAGAGAAATTTAAATAGAATTGAAACTCCTTTATAAAACTGTTTGAGTAAACAAATAAATTTAGATAATGGTTTTCATCATGTAATTATTTGTTTTGGTTGGTTGTGGGGCTTGAACGTAGGGCCTGGGTGCTGTCCCTGAGCTTTTTTAAATTAAGGCTAGTGCTCTACCATTTTGAGCCACACAACCACTTCTAGTTTTTTGACGGTTAATTGGAGATAGATAGAAATTCAGATTCAGTTCTAAATAACAAAGGATGGCATTCAGGAAGAAGATATAAACTTTTTGTATTAAAAATTTGTGCTATTCATTTGTACTATTTATAAATGTAAATTTAAAAATACTTCTGTAAATAGGGCATTCACAAAACCGATATGTCAATAGTTGCATATATAATTTAACATTTTGGAAGGAAAAATAACTGTGAGAGGAGCAGCTCTGAAAAGCTTGATTCCTCACAAAAATCACCCAATTAAACATGA